TAGATTTTTCTACATGCTTTATTTATTTATTTTATGTGGTGCTGAGGATTGAACCCAGTGACTCACACATGATAGGTAAGCGTTCTACCACAGCCCCTACATGCTTAACCTTTCTCCATTGTATTCCAACCCATCCTTCTACAATTTTCTCTCCTAAAGTATAAATTTTTAAGAACTTTATTTAGTGTGGGTTCCTTGATATTAAATGTCCTCTCCTTTTGTTTATCTTTATACATGCCTTTATTCCACATTCATTTTTGAAGGATAGTTTGGTGGGCATTCCAGGATTCCTAGTTCTTTCAGCATTTTATACATCCTATCTGTTCTTAATTCCTTTGTTGTGAAGAAGTTTACTGCCACTTTGTTTTTCCTTTTTATGAAATCTTTCCCTTCCTTAAGGATGCTTGCAAGGATTTTCTTCTTCTTCTTCTTCTTCTTCCTCTTCTGGTGGTGTGGCTCAAACCAGGGCCTTGCACATACTAGCAAGCACTCTACCGTGGAACTATAATCCCAGACCCTTCTTGTACTTTTCTTTTTTTGTACTGGGAATTGAACCCAGAAGTACTCTACCACTGAGCTACATCCCCAGCTCTTTCTATTTCTTATTTTGAGACAGGGTCTCTCCAAGTTTCCAGAGGTGGCCTTGAACTTGAGATCTTCCAGCCTTAGTTTCCCTAGTCATTACAGGCATGTGGTACTGCACCTGACTCCTTTGTCTTTTTTTTTTTTTTTTAAGAGAGAAAGAGAGAGAGAATTTTAATATTTTTTTTTTTTAGTTTTCGGCGGACACAACATCTTTATTTGTATGTGGTGCTGAGGATCGAATCCGGGCCGCACACATGCTAGGTGAGGGCTGGGGTGTGGCTTGGTGGGTAGAACACTTGCCTAGCATGTTGGAGGCCCTGGGTTCAAGTCCTAGTACCACCACCAAAACACACACACACACACACACACAAATATATGATGAGCACATGAAAAGAAGTTCAACATCATTAGTCACTAGCAAAATGTAAATCAAAACCACATGAGATGCCATGAGGATGACTATAATTTAAAAAGAGACAATAACATGTGTTGGTGGAAATTTAACAGTTTGGTAGTTTCTCAAAAAGTTAAAACATGTGCTGGGTGCAGTAGCACAAATAATCCCAGTGATGTGGGAGGAGCAAAAATTTGAGGCCGGCCTCAGCAATTTAGCAAGGCCCTAAGCAACTTAGTGAGGATGTGTCTCAAATTTAAAAAGGGCTGGGGAGGTAGCTCAGTGGTTTAGCACTCTTGGGTTCAATCCCAATACCAAAAAAAAAAAAAAAAAGTTAAACACATAATCTAGAACTTCCACTACTAAGCATATACTCCAAAGAACTGAAAACATGTAGTCGGGCGCCGTGCCACACGCCTATGATCCCAGCAGCTCAGGAAGCTGAGACAGGAGGATGGTGGGTTCAAAGCCAGCCTCAGCAACGGTGAGATACTAAGCAACTCAGTGAGACCCTATCTCCAAACAAAATACAAAATAGGGCTTAGTGGTTGAGTGCCCCTGAGAGTTCAATCCCTAGCCCTCCCCCTCCCCCCAAAAACATGTACACAAATGATCATAGCAGCATTATTTCTAATAGTCCAAAAGTAAGTTTGGCACAGTGGTGCATACCTGTAATCCCAGTGACTTGGGAGGCTGATGCAGGAGACCTAGCAAGTTTGAGGCCAGCCTGGGCAACTTAGTGAGACCATGTCTTAAGTAAATAAATAGGGTCGGGAGTGTCGTTCGGTGATAGAGCGTGCCTGCATTCAGTCCCCAGGACAACAAAAATAAATACGCAAAGCAGAAATAACCCAAATACACATCAGCTGATGAATGGACAAACAAAATATGGCATGCCCATAGAATGCTATATTACTCATTGGTAAAAAAGGAACAAAGTACCGATACATGGTAGGACATGGACAAAACTTGAAGAAAACACTTTGCCAACTGAAAGACACCAGTCAAAGACCACATATCATACAGTTCCACATCTGGAATAGGCATATCCATAGAGACAGAAGGTGGATTAGTTTACTAGGACTGGGAAGGCTACATAGAATGAGTGACTGCTAATGGATCTGGGGTTTCTTTTTGGAGTGATGAAAATATTCTATAATTAGATAGTGGTGAGAATTGTACAATTATGAATATACAAAAATCCACTCAATTGCATTTTTATTTATTTATTTGATATTGGTAATTGAACCCAGGGGTGCTCTAACACTGAGTTAAATCCCCAGCCCTTTAAAAGATCTGTGGGTTTTCATTAGTTCTGATAAATGTACAATTGTCAGTTCTTAAATATCACCTTTTTTTCCATTTTCTAATTCTTGGTCTCCAGTCAACATATTAGATGTTCTTATGCTTTCTTTCGTTTTTGTTAAGCCTCTCAAAATATGTTTTCTATTTCTCATACTCGGGATAAATTATTTGGCTCTATATTCTAGGTTATTAATCCTATTTTAATATTGCCCAAATTGCTGTTTTATTCATTCATAGTATCTGATTTTAAAAATTTATATCATAACATTTCTTAAAGTCTCACTTTTTAAAAGTCTCTCCCTGACTGTATTATCTTTGTCTTTGTAATTATATTCTCTGTTTCTTTAAACATTTTATGCATAGCTGTTCTGTATTCTACATATTCAATAACTTTAGTACTTCTAGATCTAAATCATTATTTCTGATTTCTAATGACTTTGGTTGTAGTGATATAACTTCTGATTTGTTGTGTATTTTTGTGATATAGTGCTGGGTGGATGGATGGATTGATTGATTGATTTTATACTGGTGATTAAACATAGGGTATTTTACAACTGAGCTACATCCCCAACCCTTTTTATTTTTTATTTTGAGACATATCTCACTAATTTGCTGAGGGCCTTGCTAAGGTGCTGAGGCTAGCTTTGAACTTGTCATCCTCCTAAGATTATAGGCATGTGCCACCAAGCCCAGTTTTTGGATTTTAATTTATAGGAATCCTGTGGGCTTAATTCAAGGGAAATCCTCTCCTCTTTTGCAGATTGACTTTTCTTGTGCTTCAGTCAGAAATTCGAGTTCAAAGCCAGCCTCAGCAAAATAGGGCTCTAAATAAAATACAAAATAGGGCTGGGGATGTCGCTCAGTGGTTGAGTGTCCCTGAGTAGGTGCCACATCAAAGATAGTGTGACTTTGTTCATGTTATTCTAAATTTAGAATTTTTGGTTCCCAGAGTCTCATGTACTTTAAAAATTTGTTAGATACTGTTAATATTTTGTTCTGTAATACAATGTTATAAATTTTAGCTCCACCAGTAGTATTTGAAAATGTTTTTGTTTATTTTTCCCTGCATATTCTCATCACTATATTGCAGTATTTGCCATTTTAATATATTTGAAAATTTTTTATTTATTTGTTTAACTTGCATTTCTTTAAATATTAAAATTTTAGCATCTGCTTTTGGTGAGGGAAGTATGTGAATTAATTGCCTGTCAATTTCCTTTACCCATTTTTCTCTTGGTGGTATTTGTTTTTTTTCCTCATTGATTTGTAAGGGCACATTTTATACTAAGAATAGTAAATTTTTATCATGATTTGTAGATGTTTTTTCCAACTTTTTAAAAAAATTTTTAGTTTTAGATGGACACAATACCTTTATTTTGTTTATTTACTTTTTTTATGTGATGCTGAGATTTGAACCCATTGCTTCACACATGCTAGGCAAGCACTCAACCCATGAGCTATAGCTCCAGCTCAACAAACTTAGTCTTTTATTTACATATATTTTTCATTTACATTTTAACCTTTTGTATACTGTCCATTTTTTGAAAGACTGTAAGCTTTTGGTTGTAAACAGATATTTTACATCTGCTAAGCTTTCAATCACATTTTTAGCTATGCAAATTCAATCAGTGAAGAATAATTCTCATGAGAAGAGGGAAAAGGTATCAGTACTGGGAATTGAACCCAGGACATGGTTCAGGCTAGGCAAAGCCCCATTCTGGGTTTCTATTTTTTAAAGACATTCTTTATATGTGTCATTTATTATTTTTTAATTTTTAGCAATTTTTTTGTTCTTTATAGTTACACATGACACTAGAGTATAATTAAACATTATTACTCAGCCATAAAAAAGAATGACTTTATGACTTTTACCAGTAAATGGATGAATCTGGAGACTATTATGCTAAGTGAAATAAGCCAGTCCCAAAAAACCAAAGGTGGAATGTTATCTCTGTTATGTGGATGCTAACACACAAAAAGGGAGGGGCAGAATAGAAATTCAGTAGATTAAAGGGGAATGAAGGGAAGGGAGGGGAGACAGAAATAGGAAAGACAGTGTAATGATTCTGACATAACTTTCCTATGTACATATATGAATACACCACAATGAATCTCCACAGCATGTACAACCACAAGACTGGGATCCTAACTAGAATATGATGTATTCCATGTTTGTATTAATTTGTCAAAATAGACTGTACTCTCATTTATCATATCATAAATTTCCTCAGCTTTGCTGGGCACAGGTACATCCCTGTAATCCCAGCAGCTTGGGATGTTCAAGCAAGAGAAATTCGAGTTCAAAGCCAGCCTCAGCAAAAGCAGAGTCTCACTAAGCAAGTGAGACTCTATCTCTAAATAAAATACAAAATAGGGCTGGGGATGTCGCTCAGTGGTTGAGTGTCCCTGAGTTCAATCCCGAATACCAAAAAACAAACAAACACACAAAACAAAAAACTTCCTCAGCTTTTTAGGGAGAGGAGGAGATAATTTTCTTTTAATATGGTGAAAAATCTACTTTTATAGACTTTATTCTCTTTTTGCAGAAAAGATAAATTATATTCATTTATCTTCTAAGAGCCTTAAGTTTTACTTTCTTCGTTGTGTACTATTTAACTGTGGTTTTTTACACTGTCCAGCAAACTATATTTTAGGTATAAACACAACTTTAAGGGAATTTCAAATGATTTTTTTTCCTTTTTTTTTTTTTTTTTAGGGCAAATGAAAAGAACTAAATGTGCTGATATTGATGTTGAGACACCAGACTCCATTCTAGTTAACACAAATCTTCGAGCACTGATCAACAAACACACTTTTTCAGTCCTTCCTGGAGATTGCCAACAGCGACTGCTTTTACTACTTCCAGAGGTGGATCGACAGGTGCGTCATTTCAAGCATATAAGCAACTTTATTACCCTTATGGGGTTTCTTTCATCACCTTTTGAGCTTAACATTTTTAAATTGTCTTTTTATGTATACATGTAAAGAAGTGGTATTAAGTGGTAGAGCATTTGCCTAACATGTATGAAATCCTAGGTCCAATCCCCATTACTGCAGAAATATTTTTTAAAAAGTAGTGTCTGTCTCTCTCTCTCTCTCTTACACACACACACACACGTACGTCAAATTATAAAATAAATTTGAGTAACTTTCCTTTTAAATTGTTGGCATCCATAGAATCCAGTTTGGGAGGAAGACTTGTCTTGGTTTAGTATTAGCAGGATGTAAGTCAGTGCCTCAGTGAAGTGGGAACTAGAATCCAGTTTGGGAGGAAGACTTGTCTTGGTTTAGTATTAGCAGGATGTAAGTCAGTGCCTCAGTGAAGTGGGAACTGTCACAGATATATATATATATATGTATGTGTGTGTATTTAGGGATATATAACACAAATACAGTATATATACACACATACATATTTGTGTATTGGCAGTTGAACCCAGGAAAACTCGTCACTGAACTACATCCTCAGCCCTTTCTATTTTTTATTTTGAGACAGGATCTCACCAAGTTATCCAGGCTGACCTTGAACTTTGATTCTCCTGTGTCCCTGGGATTACAGGCATGCATCATGTTCCTAGCAAAAATATTTTTATTTATATGTCTTAATAGGAGGGATTTATAACACTTATGATGGGGATCAGAACTTTATTACTAGAATGTCAAATTATAGAATAAATTTGAGTAGCTTTCCTATTAAGTTGTTGGCATCCATAGAATTAAGTTCAGGATGAAGACTTGTCTTGGTCCAGTATCAACAGGATGTAGGTCAGTGCCTCAGTGAAGTGGGAACTGCCAACAATAAGCCAAAATAATGGATTCAGATAAATTACATACATCTAAAAGGACATAGCACATGGAATAATAGTGGTGGAATTAGGAATATTCATTATTTTTATTGTTTTATTAAATTCTTTTAAAAGAAACATTTATTGCTTTTATAATAAAGAATTAAAACTCCAGTATAAGTTGTACTTTGAAAAAAAGTACCAAAAGAAAAAGGTTTAATTGGAAAGGCAAGGACCAAAGAGATTTAGCATAATCCAGGTATAAGATGAAGGTGAGACTTCAGCTTTTATCAAGGAAAAAGTGACAACTAGTAATTCACTCTTATTCTGATCTTTGTTTCCCTCTTTGTGAAAAAAACAAACAACAACCTTTTTTTTGTTGTTATTTTAGAGACAGGGTCTCACTAAGTTGCTGAGGCTGACCTTGAACTTGTGCTCCTACTGCTTCAGCCTTCCAAATTGCTAGGACTATAGTGTACACCACCCTGCCAGGCACCATTTTGATTTTCTAATTTTTTTCACTTATGAGATTTCACTATGTTCTAAATGATAATGGTTTTCTTCCTCCTTCCTTAAATCATTATGAAAACAAGAAGAGAGGAAGGTGTTATTCTTTACTTTACAGTAAAGGACTAGTTGGATATATTCCCTAGTTTTTAGAAAGATTAACAGCATAAGTAAGCCACGCAAATCATTATAGCTAATATAAAGTCAAAACTAAAACTTGCTAATTCTGGACTTGTTTTCTGGATGACGTTGATACCAATTTTTTAATGCTGAGAATCAGCATGTGTCAGAACAGTCAAAGTTTATTGTCTAGAGAATCCAGATAAATCAGGTATTCTTCCAGCAGTAGTGACAGGACATGTTCACTACTATGCAACTTATTTTTATCACCATGGACAATACCATTGAGGTCTCTTCAAGCCATTTGACCTAGTTTTACCTTCTTTATAAATGGCTGCATATTATTTCATCTTATGAATATTCTCCAGTTAATTTACCAATTTCCAAGTGACATACACCATATACTTCCAAGGTATTACTTTCTCTCCCTTAACTCTTCTTGAAGAATTGATTTGGGCCAGGCGCCTATAATCCTAGAAGCATGGAAAGCTGAGATAGTAGGATCCAGAGTTCAAAGCCAGCCTTAGCAGCTGCAAGATGCTAACCAACTCAGTGAGACCCTGTCTCTAAATAAAATACAAAATAGGTGGGAATGTGGCTCAGTGGTTGAGTTCCCCTGGGTTCAATCTCTGGTACCAAGGAAAAAAAAAAAAGAAAAGAAAGAAAGAAAAAAAAAGAAATTATTTGGGGGGGAAGGGTACTAGGATTTAAACCCAGGTGAGCTCTACTACTGAACTATGTTCCCCAGCCCTTCTTTTTGTTGTTGGTGTATATGAACTGAATACTTTTATTTTATTTATTTATTTTTATGTGATGTGGCTGAGGATCGAACCCAGTGCCTCACACATGCTAGGCAAGCACTCTGTCACTGAGCTACAACCCCAGACCCCCATCCCTTCTTTTGTTTTATTTCATTTCATTTTTATAATCTATTTTTTTGTGGTGCTGGGGATTTAACTGGGGTGCTTTCCCTCTGCGCTAAATCTCCCCAGCCCTTTTTATTTTGTATTTTGGCACAGGACCTCACTTTGTTGCTGAGGTTTGCCTCAGACTTGAAATCCTCCAGCTTTAGCTTCCTAGTTGCTGGGATCATAGATGTGTGCCTCCACAACTGGCTTCCTTTAATTTTTTTATTTTGAGACAGAGTCTCATTGTATTGCCCTGACTGGCCTTAAACTTTAAATCAGCATACCTCAGCCTCTCAAGTCACTGGGATTACAGGTGTGCACTACTGTGCCCCACTCATCAGTGTTTTTAAAGAACCTCATTGAGAGTTTTTCCTTTTTGTTTTTGTTTTTGTTTTAAACTCAGGGTTATTAAACTTAGAATAATAGTATAGGACCTTAACTGATGGTCTATTTTTGGAACTCAGTTCTATCTGACACATGGCCCTCAGATGGAGATTGCCACATATAATTTTAGTAAAAGGAACCTTAGAGGTTTCTAGTTAAATTTCCCACATAGGGTAATCTTAATTGGAAGGCTATTTGGCCAGTCTTTTTATAGTTATTGTTATGGTGGGAGTACACTGTAATCTGAGCAGTGTTATCCTCATGTGTGGAGTATGCAGTTATAATTAAGTAAAATTACAACTTTACTCTAAAATGAAATTTTAAGTGTTTATACAGAATTCTGATTATTAAGATTACAAATTGGAAACTATAGTATATGGAATCTTCAGTAAAGAACAGTAGAAAACTATTATTTACATCAGAGGGTTGGGTTATATTTTCTGATATAATTCAGTATTTACCATATGGAAGATATAAGCTTTCTTCTGAAAGCAGATTTGGGGTTAAAATAACAACTTAAAAATTTAGAGAGTTAACCTATGGAGTAGATTAACTGACAGTGGAGTAATTTGCTCATCACTGGAATATTCAAATGGAGATTGGATAATGTATTATAGGAAAAAGTCTATAACCCTACCAAATTTTCAGCGGTCTCATTGGCCTACAGCCACTCCTGTTAATTATTGTCACTTTTGTATTAGGGAGAGTTTAGTAGTTAGTTGCACCAGAAACTATATCCTATAAAGTCTAATGCATTTGCAGGTTAGCCCTTTATAACAAGTTTTCAATTTCTGCTATAGAGCCAAGGGAAAATACATTGGCCCAGACAGGTTTGAAAAGTAAAGTGAGTTATGAAGTGATCCTCAATTCTTAAGGTTGCCAGATCACTTTCTAAATTTTCTTCAGAATTTTAAACCATCTAGTTGTTTTTCTTGTTGTTGTTGTTTGCTTGTTTTTTCCTGTTATCTGAATTTAGGGTCCAACTTTCTTTTCTTCTGGATGCACTACCTATCTGTATATTTGTACTATCCTTTTTCTCACTATTTGAAATAACATTAATGTTTTGCATTCCATTAATATGTATGTAGCTTATACTTAAAGTACTCTATCCTCTTCAATTTTTTTCTTTGTTTATTCTAATACCAGTAGTAATAGAGCTTGGGGTTTTTTGGGGGGCATGGGAGGTACTGGGGATTGAACTCGGGGGCACTTGACCATTGAACCACATCCCCAGCCCTATTTTGCATTTTATTTAGAGATAGGGTCTGACTGAGTTAGTTGCTTAGCGCCTCGCTTTTGCTGAGGCTGGGTTTACATAATTCTCCTGCCTCCGCCTCCCACGCCGCTGGGATTATAGGCATGCACCACAGCACCTGGCAGTAATAAGAGTTTTGATGCAGTGACTTTGTGTAGTGTGTTTAATAATCATAAAGCAATTTCCCTCTCCCAGTTTTTCTTACTGTCTTTTTTCCTATATGAGCATTAAGATAATTTCATTCAATTCATTAGAAATCTATGTAGGGATTCTGATAAAATTATAAAAATTAACTTTAGGGAGAATGACAATTTTATTTTTTTTATCCAGGTTTTTTAGATCTGTGCTTTGTATAATTTAGATGTTATGGGTTTTAACCAAGGTAGGAAATTCAATATTTCTAATATTCAGAAAATTTTTTATTTTTTAAATTTTTTGCAGTACAGAGGATTGAACCTAGAATTTTATGCATGCCAGGCAAGTGTTCTATTACTAAGCTACATCCCCTGTCCAAAAAAAAATTTTTTTAGACCTTTTGGGAAAGCATCACAAATCAATTCAGTAGACAGTGAGTTTGGAGAAAATATTTTTAACATGTGATTATAGTCATTACCATATATAATATGCAAAGGGTTCTTACAAACTGATGATAAACATGAGCAACCTACTGGAAAAATGAGAAAGTGATAGGAATTGACCCTTCACAAGATTCCAAATTTAAATATTGAATACACATTTAATAAGGTGCACAATCACAACAGCAGTCAACAGAATTTTTTTACCATTTCAGAAATTCAATAGCGTGAAAAAATTGTTGCCGAGGAAAGGAGTATTTCATATACTGCTGGTAGAAATGTCTGTTGTTTGAGTCTTTTTGAAAGGTAATCTCACATATCTAGTTATACACACGCTAATGTTCTTTTTTTATTTTTTAGTTGTAGATGAACACAATAACTTTATTTATTTTTATGTGGTACTGAAGATTGAACCCAATGCCTTCCACGTGCTAGGCAAATGCTCTACCACTGAGCTATAACCTCAGCCCGATACATTGTGTGTGGGTTTTTTTTGGGTGGGGGGGGTGGGGGGATTGAATCCAGGGCCTTATGCATGCTAGGCAAGCACTCTACCAACTGAGCTATATCCCCAGCCCCACGCTAATATTCTTTATTCTAGGAACGTACAGAAATAAAAGCACTAGTATACATCTCTATAAGAATACTAGTTGCAGCTTTCTTGATTATGGGGAAATGTTAGGGGAAAAAAGTATATGTCATTTGGAAACTGGTAAATTGAGTTATATTCATATAACAAAAATAATATGTAGCCATTTTAAAGAAGGTAAAAACTAGGCCAAATGAGCTGGGTGTGGTGCCTCATGCCTATAATCTATCTCAGTGGCTTGCGAGGCTGAGGCAGGAAGATTGCGAGTTCAAATCCAGCCTCAGCAATTTAGCAGTGCTATAAGCAATTCAGTGAGACCCTGTCTCTAAATAAAATATTTTAAAAGGCTGCAAATGTGGCTCAGTGGCTGAGTGCTGCTGAGTTCAATCCCCCATACCTTCCCCCGCAAAAAATCTAGGCCAGATGACTTGAAGAGACTTCAATGGTTTAATCTGTGAGAAACATAAACTGTGTACATATCTTGGAACCACTTCTGTAAAACAAATAATAAACCCTTTTCAGTTGTTGTTTTTTTTTTTAATCATTAAAGAATGGAGTTAAAAGGAGAGGAAGAGGAAAAGTAAATGGGAAGAGCTTGTTTTGATGTTACTTTCCTGTAGGGGGGATTGAGACCCAAGGCTGTACCACTGAGCTACATCCTCAACCCTTTTTATGTTTTATTCTGAGATAATAAAATGTCTCACCAAGTCACTGAGACTGACCTTGAGCTTTTGATCCTCCTGCCTCAGCCTCCCTAGTTGCTGGGATTACAGACATGTGCCACCAAACCTGTTTGGAAAGGAAAATTTTTTTTATTTATATGTGGTGCTGAGAATCAAACCCAGTGCCTCACATATGCCAGGCAAGTACGCTACTGCAGAGCCTCAACCCCAGCCCTACAAAGGAATTTTTTAAGAACAAAATATTACATTAAAAATATCAACAAGCCAGGTACAGTGGCACACACCTGTAATTCCAGCAGCTCACGAGACTGAGGAAGGAGGATTGTGAGTTCAAAGCCAGCCTCAGCAAAAGGGAGGCACTAAGCGACTTAGTGAGACCCCGTCTCTAAATAAAATACAAAATAGAGCTGGGGATGTGGCTCAGTGGTTGAGTGCCCCTGAGTTCAATCCCTAGTACCAAAAAATAATACATACATATAAAATATATATATATATATTTACATTTATACACATATAGAGAGACACACACACACACATCAGGGCTGAGGTTGTGGCTCAGTGGTACTGGTACAGCACTTGACTAGCATGTGTGAGGCACTGGGTTCAATTCTCAGCATTAAATATAAATAAATGAATAAAATAAAGGTCCATTGACAACTAAAAAAATACATGAGTGTGTGTGTGTGTGTAAATTTAAAACTATATATAGACATCAACCAGGAGTAGTGATGTATGCCTGTAATCCTACCAACTCAGGAGGCTGAGGCAGGAGGATTCTAAGTTCAAGGCCAGCCTCATCAACTTAGCAAGGCCTTAAGCAATTTCATGAGACCCTGTACCAAAATACAAAAGGGCCAGATTTGTGGTTCAGTGGTTGAGTGTCCCTGGGTTCAATCTTTGGTACCAAGTGAATAAAAAAAGCTAGGCACAGTGGTGCATGCCTGTAATCTCAGCAACTCCAGCAGCTGATGCAGGAGGATTACAAGTTCAATGTCAGCCTGAGCAATTTAGCAATATCCTGTCTCAATATAAAAATAATTAATTAATTAATTAATTAAAAAAGACATCCATAATAAGCAGCTTGATAGGAGATAGCTAGTGCACCTCTGTATAATTAAATGAACATACATTCTTTTCTAAAATGAAAGCCAAATACCATACAAACACCTTTCCCTTTGTTTGTAAGCTTTCCCTGGCTTATTCTTTGAACCAGGTTGGTCCAGATGGTTTGATGAAGTTGAATGGCTCAGCCCTTAATAATGAGTTCTTCACTTCAGCAGCCCAAGGCTGGAAGGAAAGACTATCAGAAGGTAAGTGTTCTGCCTCTGGTTGCTCAGAATCTGCACTTGGAACAACAGTGACGGTATATTGGCACTTTTCCGCCTTGTGGGGTATTTAACCATTTTGGAAGATAAAAGACAGGAAGTTTCTAAAAGATAGAATTAGCTATCCTGTATGAAACATATTACTAAATTTTGTATCTGGAGCCTCTATAACCAAGTACACTCCACATGGAGTCCAGCAAGTGTGTTTCTTCAGTGATTTAAAGTCAACTTAGAAACTTAAAAAATGGATTTGCAGGCCCTGTTACTAAAGATTTTGATTCAGTAATTCTACATTAGTGCCTGGGAATTGAAATTCTAAGCTTACTAATAATAAGCAAAGTGTACAATTATTTTATAGTGCTGGGCATCACAGCACCATAAAATAATTAATACTAATTATTAATTATTAATCTAATACTTTTCCTTTCCTAGGGTAACTTCTTTGTTATTGGCAGCCCCAATGGAACCAACAGAAAAGGAATCAGAACATTTAAAAATGTATTATTGAGATATATGTACATACTGTAAAATTCACTTATTTGAAGCATACAGTTAAGTGGTGTCAGTACATTTTAATAAATATGGACCATGACTGAGAATTACTGACCGTGGTCACTAGTGCCTTGTGTACCATGCTTCTAATCCTGATTTAACAGATTTATTGAGGGCAAATAATAGAGTATAAAAAAGTTACTGATTGATTGATTTTGCAAGCACTGTATATAGTATTTGTCAGCATTAGAAATTCTTAACCCTGAATGCTCAAAACACCTCTTAAGTTTTTATAAACATTGATGTCCAGGTACCTCCCTGAGTGATTTTAATTACTCTAGGTTAGTACCCGAGGGTTAGTATGTGGGTTTTTGTTGTTATTGTTGTTTAAGGTTTTCCCATGTGAGGCTAATATTCAACAATAATTAAAACCGCTGAGTATTACATCTGTACTTTGGTATACCTGGAATACAAAATTATACTTGAGAGTTATATTATGCCAGAGAACAGCTTAAAACAAGTGTGAGACCTTTAAAGTAAATACATTTGTAAGGAGAGCATTAGGAATGCTGTTCGCTGCTTAGTTTTTGTCACATCTCAACAGTTAAAATGATTAGGTAATAGATATCTGTTATTGGTCACTGTGATTGTTAGTGTCTCCCCTCCTCCCTACCCCTCTCTTGTGCTCTGGATTGAACTGAGGACCTCATGCATGTCATAGGTTTTATGCTCTCCTACTGAATGATACTCCTACCCCCTCCCATCCTTTTTTAGAAAGAATTTCTTGCTGATTGCTTTCGTCCTTTCTCTTATCTTCAGATTTCCTTTTTCTGAAGAAATTGAAAACATAAGCACTTTAAAACATGTCAATTGCCAATACTTTTTTTAAACAATAAATTAGTTAAGGATAAATAGGTACTATCAACAATGATACCTCAATAGTTATCGGTATTCTTTTTTTTTTTTTTACATCCAAGCAAATGATTGTTTGTTGTCATATGATCATATTTTATGAGTAACCAAAACTTTGAACACTGTACATTTATGAACAGAGATCAATACTCTTTATCCCTCATTCTATGATACATAGTAGAACCAATACCACAAGTTCTAGAACAGATTCTGTAAGCTAAATTTCTCTTTTTCTGTTTATTTACTCATGACTGTGATGTATGTGGTCCTCTAATACTTTTCCTTTCCTTCTTACTCTCAGGAGATCTTAAACTTCAAATTCTTACATTTGTATCTCTTACTCTCTGATGGTCCTCGGTATTAGAGCATGAAAGGGTACAGCCTCTCTGAGCCATAAGTTTGAAGATGGCCTACCAAACACATTTACTGTTCTCTGCTGATGGAGTGGGAAGGATTGAGGTGGTTGGTAGTATATGCAAATAAAAGGCATATTCAGAATAGCTCAGTTTGGGGCATGTTGAGTATCCTGTTGCTAGGGCATTAGATTGCTGGTTTCTGAAACAATTAGATAACTAACAACTCCATAATAATTTCCTACTTGGAATGATTTCTTAATTGGAATCGCAAATGCCTTTAAGCAAACCATCACTTTTCATTATGTAGTTAGAGGTAAAAGACCTAAGATAAAATTTTCCTTAGAGAAACATATCATTCTTTTTCTGGTAGAAAATAAATTGGAGGGGCTAGGATTGTGGCTTAGCAATAGAGCACTATCCTAGCACTGGTGGGACCCAGGTTCAATCCTCAGCACCACATACAAGTAAAGGCATTATGTTGTGTCCATCTACACATAAGAAATAAAAAAAAATATTTTAAAAAAAAATAAGAAATTCAAGATTAGAGACTAAAGAAATTTGTATGGAATATGATGAATATGATGTTTCATGTAGGAGGGAGATACTACTGGGGGGAAGTCCAGAGAAAAGGCACTGTCGTCCTCAGCTGTGTATTGAAAACTACATGGAGTTGTATATAAACATGTTTTTATTTCATCTAGTGATATTTAAGTCTACCTTACAGTGAGGTATTTGGGGAAGTTTCTGTTACTTTCACATAATAGTACTCTGATTTCCGTATGAGTTTTTCTTGATTTATAAATAGTCAAAAGTTGCAAAAGGGCATTTTTCTATTCAGTATCTTTTTTTTTTGTTACATTACAGGTGAGTTTACACCTGAGATGCAGGTGAGAATTCGACAAGAGATTGAGAAGGAGAAAAAAGTGGAACCATGGAAGGAACAATTCTTTGAAAGCTACTATGGTCAGAGGTAATAATTAATAAGCCAAATTCTGTAAACCATATGGTAATTCCTGCACATATGTTATATAATGCTTTACCTGAGCAGAAATTTTTCCTTCAAGTTTTATTTCAACAATTCTTTACTAAGAAGCTGTTTTTTGTATTTGTTTTTGTTTTCTCGTACCAGGGATTGAACTCAGCAGCACTTGATCACTGAGCCACATCTCAGCTCTATTTTTGTATTTTATTTAGAGACAGGGTCTCACTGAGTTGCTTAGTGCCTCACCGTTGCTGAGGCTGACTTTGAACTCACGACCCTCCTGTCTCAGCCTCCCGAGCTGCTGTTTTTGTTTTTTAATCATCTTGAATTAGTATCCATTCCTTGGAAAATATGAACATCAATAACCAGTTTCCTATAGGTGGGTTCTTTCTTTGTTTTGATTTTTTTTGTTTGTTTGTTTTTTGAGGCAGTATCTTGCTAAGTGAACTTAAACTTACAGTCTTTCTGCCTCAGCCTCCTGAGTAGCTGGGATGATAGGCTTGTGTCATCACACCCAGCATACATCCCTATTTTCAAAGAACTGTGGTCAAATAGTTTTTTTCCAATAAAAATCTAAGTGAAATCATTTTTTATTTGTTTTAATTAGTTATACATGACAGCTAAATGAAATCTTGATGAAGATATTTAAATATATAATAATGGAGTGTCTTTGTTTGAAATAGGATTGAACACCCAGGTTGCTATTTGTTTTTGTTTTTTTTTTTTTAATCTCCAGGTAGTGTTCATTGATCCCCTTCACAGTTCTTTAGGGTATATTCTTTTTGAGATTAAGTGTCTCAAACTCTCATTTTTTCTGTGTTCTTTGCTTTTTTTTCCCCCCAGATTAAATCAAAGCCTAAATGCGTATGATATGCAAACATACCACTCAGAAACACCTAATTCTTTTTTTGTGATGTTGGGGATTGAACCCAGGGCTTTGTGCATGCCTGGCAAACACTCTACCAACTAAGCCATATCCCCAGCACCCCCCCTACATTATTGATATGAGTTTTGAGCTATGTAAATGATGGTGTATATATTTGGACCATATTATAGGTAACAGTAATTCTGTTAATATTTATTTGCTTCCTCCTTGTTAGGCATATATAACACATTACAGCAGTTGAATACATTTTCACCTATTACTTTTTGCCAGCTGTTATAGGACAGTTTTGGGGGCGTTATTTGGGATTTGTGTGTGTGTGGTACTGTAGATCAAACCCAGGCCTTAACAATTACTAGGCAAATGTTGTGTCGTGAGCTATATCCCCAGCCCAGTAGGACTGTTTTTGATAACTGCCTAGTTTTGCCGTTGGCTATACCCTCTCATGTGTTGTACTGACTTGAAGTCACCAGAGAGGATTTCATTGATTTTTGACTGTTATGTAATATTATAAAATATTAAGAAGAATCATTAATGACCCTTAAAGATTTGCTTAGCTTTTTAGCCAGGCCACACTGTGGAACTCCCAGTTACACCATAGAACAATGTAGCAGCACACTCTCAAAATTTTAGAGCTAGACCAAGGAAGATTTGAATAGACTTTTTGAAAATTCACTTGTAATTCTCAGCTTCTGGAGAATATCAATAACCAGTTTCCTATAGTTTCCTCTGGATTCCCTTAGATTTCTTGGGCCAGCCTTTCTACAAATACTGCAGAACAAAATTGGTCACAGTCCAAACCAAGTCCCAGGGTCAGGGTTCTTGGCTTTCTTTAAGGTCCTCATAGTTAGTCTGTAATACATATCTCTAGACAGTATGACCCCCCCATAAGCAGAAGTAATAATAATGATAACCACTAGTATTGAGTTTTAAGTACTTCCAATGAAATAATCATCATAGCAACATTATGAAGTCATTAACCCCAATATACAATTGAAGAAACTGAGGTGCAGAAGGCTAGTCTATTTACTCAATATCACATGGACATCCGGTATCGGAGCCAAGATTTGAACTGGGCACTCTGGCTCAAGAACATTCACTATTATTAATAATAGTGAAGATAAGCAAGGCATCATGGTGCACGCCTGTAATCCTAGCAGCCCAGTAGGCTGAGGCAGGAGGATCACAGGTTCAAAGCCAACCTTAGTAAAAAGCAAAGTGCTAAGCAGCTCAGTGAAAACCTGTATCTAAATAAAATACAAAATAGGGCTGGGGATGTGGCTCAGTGGTTGAGTGCCCCTGAGTTTAATCCCTGGTACACCCCAAAACAAAAAAAGAATAATGAAGATAATACATGAAAATTAGCTACTATGTGTGAGGGGTTTTTCTAAACATTTGTCCTGTTCCATTTTCTCATAATGCTTCAGTAACATGTGCTATCTCACAATTAAAATATTTTCTTATTTCACCGTTTAGTTCTGGGTTGAGCCTTGAAGATTCAAAGAAATTGACAGCTTCCCCCAGTGATCCCAAAGTAAAGAAAACCACAGCTGAGCAACCAAAATCTATGCTTCCTTCAGAGGCCTCTCCTGTCAAAATACTCCCAGGCATTTCCCAGTCAGAGTGTAAAGAAGAAGCAGTACAAATGCCTTCACCAGTCAAAAAAGAAGAACACGAAAGCCAAGATGAGGCACAGCCAAATGTCAAATTCACAGAGCCCCTTCTTGCCTCAGCTACCAGTGCAAATGAGCTTACTGGCATTTTTCCCATCAAGTGCCCAAAGGATGAGGATCCCTTGGAGCAGAAACCAACTGCCTCTGCTGCACAGGAATCTGAGAAAGAGAATTATCATACCACAGTTTTTAATTATAATAAAAGTGAAAGCCAAGAAGCTGTAGTTACATCCCTAACCAAACCCAAGAGTCCTGGGCTGGAAAAACCAATAATGAAGTCCACAGCAGAAGCAGGACCCCAGGAGACCAGCAGCAAAGAACCTCCCACAACTCTTGTTGATCAGAGCCCAGAAAGCCTAAAGAGAAAATCTTCTCTGACTCAAGAAGAGGTCCCTGGAAGCTGGGAGAAAAGGCCACGTGTCACTGAGAATCGCCAACAGCCATTTCAGGTCTCGCCACAGCCCTTTCTCAATAGAGGAGACAGGGGCCAGGTGCGCAAAGTACCACCTCTCAAGGTAGGAGAACAGAGAGAATTGGAAAGGAGAGATGGCCTAAACAATAGGTTTTTGATATTCTTACTAAATTTCAAGTAATAAATGGTATTTCTTAATGTAGAAACACTTGTAGGATATAAAATTCAGTTTTAAATATAATATATGATGTAAAATATGTGAAATTTTGACACTGTTATGAAATCCCACAGCTCTAACTTCTGAGTTAATAATCAATTTTTCAGCACTGCTGACTTGAGAAATTAATAGAAGTCTTCAGTGACCTCTTAAGGATTTCCAGAAAAAATGTGTTTTTTGGAAATTAAAGGCTCTTTTTGTTTTTTTAAACAAGGTGCTCTAGAACATGACTTAGAATTATTTGCTCCTTTAAACTCAGTCATCTATTAGAAGTGTCCACATTTTGTGATGCACTGCAAAATACTGTGTAGGACAGAAGTCCGATTCTTTTTTTTTTTTTTTTAATTTATTTTCTTAGTTGTAGGTGGACACAATGTCTTTATTTTATTTATTTATTTTTATATTGTGCTGAGGATCGAACCCAGTGCCTCATACGTGTGAGGCAAGCACTCTGCCACTGAGCCACAATCCCAGCCCCAGATTCTTTTATGATATGAAAATTAGTGATTTCAAATCTGATAGTCATTAGCACAAGCAGCTTTTTAGAAACAAATTTTTTTTCTCTAGAGGTTCTAATTTGTAAATTTTGGGATTAGGACCCAAAGCACAAATAATACCAGCCAGGCATGAGAATGACTCGCAAACGTGCACCTACTCCCTTATGAGTGGGCAGAGTAGAAGGCACCTAGAAGCAAACTTGAATTGCTCAGTCCTAGATGTCCCATGTTTTTATGGGTGCTGTTATGTTTACCTGCTCTAAAAATGTAAGAAAACTAAGCCTTGTTGTGTTTTTTTTCCTCCCCTATTTCTTTCAGATCCCAGTCTCCAGAATCTCCCCCATGCCGTTTCCTACATCGCAGGTCTCTCCCAGGGCTCGTTTTCCAATCTCCATCACTAGTCCTAACAGAACAGGAGCCAGAACTCTTGCAGACATCAAAGCAAAAGCCCAGCTGGTCAAAGCACAGAGGGCAGCAGCTGCAGCTGCCGCAGCCGCCGCTGCAGCCGCCTCAGTTGGAGGGACCATTCCAGGACCTGGCCCTGGGGGTGGACAAGGTCCAGGAGAGGGTAGTGAAAGAAAAACTGCTAGAGGAGGGAGTCCAGGCTCAGATGGAGTCAGTGCAACTGGAAAGGGCCCCACACTGGAACTGGCAGGAACTGGAAGCAGGGGAGGTACGCGAGAGCTTTTACCCTGTGGTCCAGAGACTCAGCCCCAATCTGAGACCAAGACCCCAGGCCAGGCACAGCCTCATAGTGTCTCTGGAGCACAACTACAGCAAACCCCCGCAGTGCCTCCAGCATCTGCCATCAGTGGAGCATGCACGAGTGTCCCATCACCAGCTCACATAGAGAAATTGAACAGTGAAAAACTGAACCCTGCCAGGGCATCAGTCACAGTGGCTTCCCCTAGCCACCCACAAGGGCCTAGTAGTTACAGACAGGAGAGAGCCTCTTCTTCTCCAGCAGGCTCTGCTCTGATCTCAGGAGCTTTGCCCATTTCTATTGTAGCTGATGGCACAGTTGAATCCAAAGCAGATTCTAATATGAACACACCAAATCCTTCAGTCTCAGCCAAGACAACTGCCAGTGCAGTAGTGGATACATCCCCTACCCCTTTAACATCATTATTGACAACAGCCACTTTAGAAAAGCTTCCTGTACCCCAGGTCAGTGCACCTGTAGCATCTGTTGGGTCAGCTTTGTCCTCGAACATTTTGTCAGCAGCTTCTAGCCTTAAAACCCCAGGAACTTCTGCAAGTGTGAATGGGCCCATTTCAAGACCAAGCTCTAGTATCCCAGCTAATAATCCTTTAGTTACTCAGCTGCTCCAAGGCAAAGATGTTCCCATGGAGCAAATTCTGCCTAAACCTCTCACCAAAGTTGAAATGAAAACTGTACCACTGACAACTAAAGAGGATAAAGGGATGGGAGCACTCACAGGCACCAACATAACAGAAAATAGCACCAGAGAAGAAGTTAATGACAGACAGTCCCATCCAGCTATCCAGCAGCTGGGGAAAACCGTGCAGAGTAAGCAGCTTCCCCAGGTTCCAAGGCCCCTGCAACTCTTTTCAACTAAGGATTTAAGGGACTCTAGCATCGATACACACCAGTACCAAGAAGGACTAAGTAAAACAACTCAAGATCAGATCCTTCAAACTCTTATCCAGAGGGTTCGGAGGCAGAACATTCTCTCATTTGTGCCGCCTTCACAGTTTAACTTCGCTCACTCAGGTTTCCAGTTAGAAGACATCTCCACAAGCCAGAGGTTCATGCTGGGATTTGCTGGCAGAAGGACATCCAAACCTGCAATGGCAGGTCACTACTTACTTAATATTTCCACCTATGGCAGGGGTTCAGAGAGCTTTAGGAGGACCCATTCTATACATCCTGAAGACCGCTTTTGTCTTAGTAGCCCCACTGAAGCCTTGAGAATGGGGTATACAGATTGTAAAAATACAACAGGAGATAGTAGCAGCAGCAAAGAAGATGAAACTGATGAGGAGAGTACTGGCGATGAACAGGAATCTGTCTTGGTAAAGGAGGAGCCCCAGGCTTCCCAGAGTTCTGGCAAGCATGACACAAGTTCAGGACCCCATAGTAGGGAAACCCCATCCAACAATGATTGCTTAGCTAACAAGATTGTGAAGGCTGAGAAACCAGTGAATGAGCAAGCCACTGTAAGCAAGGAGAATTACCTATTTGCTAGAGGCCAAACATTTGATGAGAAGACCCTAGCCAGAGATTTTATTCAGGCAGCACAGAAACAAATGGCTCATGCAGTAAGAGGTAAGACAATACGTAGCAGCCCTGAGCTGTTCAATTCTACTGCTCTTTCTCTGCCTGCAGACAGTCCCACCCATCAGCCTTTGCTCCTTTCATCACTGCAAACTCCAAAATTGTATGGAAGCCCCACACAGATAGGGACAAGTTACAGAGGCATGATTAATGTCTCTACCTCATCCGATATGGACCATAACTCTGCTGTACCAGGTAGCCAGGTATCTAGCAATGTAGGTGATGTCATGTCCTTTTCAGTGACGGTCACTACCATCCCTGCTAGCCAAGCTATAAATCCCAGCAGCCATGGCCAGACAATGCCTGTTCCAGCCTTTCCTGAAGAAAATAGCATTGAGGACACGCCTTCAAAATGTTACTGCCGCTTGAAAGCCATGATCATGTGCAAAGGGTGTGGAGCTTTCTGCCATGATGATTGCATCGGCCCCTCTAAACTGTGTGTCTCCTGCCTTGTGGTTCGGTAATGAGACTTAAAGATAATGCACTGTAAAGAAGGGGGAAAGAAAGGGTTAACAAGATGTGTTTTTGCATTATTTGGAATCACTGAAATAAGGTTTCATCTGTCTTCTTAAGAAAAATATTAATCAGGAATACAGAGTACAGGTCATTTACATTCTAGAGGAAGAGCACCTTGTATAGTAAGTCTAAGTCAAGCAAGACTTTTGTGAATTTGTGACAAGTTTGCACTTATAAATCATGTAAATATGTCACATTTGTTTAACATTTTTCCAAGTGTTTAGGTAATAATGTATTACTTTAAATTCAGATTTATGTTCCATTTTATGTGACTGAGAAAAGTTGATTGTCATGCATGGTAAAAGGAAGCTATCTCTTTTGACCTTTCCTAAGAATAGGAAATGGAAAGAGTGGTCTAAACCCAATGATTATTCACACTGATGATGTCTTCACATTATGGTTGCAGATTATCTATATAGGTTATTTGGCCTTTGCACAATTTGAATTCAGGATTTATACAGCCCCTATACTTTAGAATGGAACCTTATGAAGTAGAAGTCTCCTTTCCATCACAGGCAGTGTTTCCAACCCTGAAAGCCCTGGCTTGGTTCTTGACTTCTGTGAACCAGTACTGTCATGAAGTAGAGACCTGCTGTTCCCTAATCCCACCCTCCTGGCCTGAGACAGTGATTGTGGTCTGTGAAGGGAGTGCCTCTGTGGGCCCCACTGTATGACTGTAGTCTCTTCATGGCAATCGATCTAGCAGTTCCAGCAATAATACTTTGTCATTCGTGGGAGCCCACAAACCTATTTGAAATACTAGCGTAAGATGAAAGCAGGCAAGTGTTAGTGATGGGGTGATTTAAACTGTCTTGTTGGACAAGAGAATGAAATTGCAGAAACTGTTAAACTAAACATAAAGGAAAATTATTTTCACACTAGAAACAAGGTAGCCTCTCTTCCTCTTCCAGCCCTTAATCTAATGTTATATAGTCAGCTGTTGTCACAGCTAGAAAAGCTCTTCAGTGGCACATTGGCTCCTTCTGTGCAACCTGTTTTACCTCCCAAGCATATAAGGAGGTTGGAGTGATTTTATTAAATCTTATCTTAAACACCACATGTGCACACACAATACAAGACATTTTCTTATTTTTGTCCCCTAATTTGGAATTATTGCTATCTGTGCTCTAAGGATGCTTAATATAAAGGGGCTTTGGTGAATGGCTAATGGTCTGGAAAGGAAGAAAAACAGCTCCAAGTTTTGTTTTTTCTTTTCTTTTTGTTGTGGTTTGAATCCTTTTCTAGTGACCGAAAAGTTTTAAGTATTTACAATTTATGTCATGGTTAAAGAACATTAAAAAAAAAAATTTAGTTTACCAGAATTTGGCATGAAATAGGAGATTATCGATTTGTATTATTTGCATATCGATTTCAAGTCTCCTAATTAGAAGTGTGTAAAGTAAAAATATTAGTGCAACCTAGTACAGTTGTATTTGTACTTAATACTCAAGATGTGATACTTACAAAATTCAGAATAATTTAAACCTATTAAATAAGTTACATTCCAGATTAGGAAAAAGGAGGCAATTATCTCTTTTGCCCGTTCTGCTACCTGCTCCTGCCCACTCCATTCCCTGCATCAAAATCTCTTAAAATTAACTTAGGAAGTTATTTTCATTCTTCTTTTCTGGTTCTTTTGTTGAAGCCCAAGACCAATATAGGATTAATATTTGTGTTGCACTTTCAGACAAGACCATTTGATGTCCTTTAATCTCTCCCTTTTCTCCTTTTCTTCTAGCACACACATAACTAAAAGGGTCTAAGGTCTAAAAAGAAAGGGTCTAAGGGATCCAGGGATAAGAAATTCTCATGTGAAAAACTAGTAGGAAACAGAAACCAGGGTTCTGCTCCCAGACTTTGAGTAACTTTGATTAATCCTAGTAGATTTAGAAAGACCTGTCGCTGGTTCCAGCCTGTTCACTTCCTCACCTTGTTAGCAGCACTGAGTGCTGGAGTTTTTTCAGAATTGACCTTGCACTAAATATCAGTTACCAGTTTGAATTGATGAAGACAACTTTTCTGCTCTGCTCCTTTCTTGCCAGAAACTTTTTCTTTCATGATACCTTTAATCTAAGAATGGATGGACTATAACCAGGACAGGAAGAAGGCAACAGGGATTTTCAGGTCCATTTAGAGAGGAATTCACATCCTGCTTCTTCCCCTTGACCCAGGCTCCTGGGCAGATAAGTTCTAAGCATTGCTATCCTCCAGATTCTAAATAATAATACCCAGCTAAATGTTTGCATTTAAGAAAGCGTCAAAAACAAATTGCCAGCAAGATACATTGCCTCAGACTCAACCAGATGAGAGTCAAGATTCTCTTATATTGGTAGTAAATTAAATATGAATCAGTTTATTGTTTCAAACAGTGGTTTCAAGGAGAAAGCCATTTGTTTTATAAGCTGAACAGAAAAAATGCATTACAGTCTGGCCCTTTCAATATTAGAGTTTGGTACTCCAGTACCTTTAAATCAGTGTTTATCTTAGCTTTTGATTGGTTTTACCTTTAGATTATTTCTGAAATGTTTTAATAAGTGCTAAGCTCTTCTTAGGATATCAGGTGGCACAGCTCCCACGACTAGTAAGACAAGCCTGAGCACTTGCCTCCCTTATGCCCTCTAGCCTTTAGGTAGCCTCCACTGCAGGTCCTCTCAGTCTGATTTTTAAATGTTCTAAGTTGTCTAGTAGAATGTTCCCTGAATCTTAAGAGATTTTTGATTAATAAAAATTCTTTATCCTACTAAATGGAAAATAAAGCCAAATAACCTGGAGTTGTTTCCCCTGCTTCAGTTTCTTAACCCCTGTGCTCAAGATACTGAAGCTGTCTGTGCTAATCTATGTAACATTTTAATTTAAAGAGTAAGAGCTGGCCAATAATGGGGAATTTTTCTGGGTTAGAGGGAAGCATGCTTACATTAGTTGGGAAGGCACACGGATGTAGGTGGTTCAGAACTTATCTCAGATTTAAATAGCCAAAAGAAGAGCTTGTTGCCTTCCAGGTGAAGGTGCAATGTCATTCATATTAATGACCTGCCAGTCATTAGCCTAATTGTTTATTATTGCCTTCCTTTACCTTAGAGATCCTTAAAGAACCCTTTGATTAAAAGATTTGTTTTAATGGGGTTGGTCATTATACTGCTATTTATTTCTGAAATTCACTGTCAATAAACAGGGGTATGTTTTCTTTGATATCATAGCAAGGAGGGAAAATCTCCCCCACTACATTACAACAGTGTGCTAAGTGAAAAACTTGGCCAAGAGTAGTTTTCAGCTCAATTTATAGAAGAGTCCAAAGAGACTGAGAAACATGATGCTAGGCAGGGACCTTCCTACATGTTTCAATACCTACATACCTATTGAAAGAAAACAGTAGGTAGTAAGACATTTCCTAAAGTTGAAGCAATAGCTTCATAGAGTCTTGGTTACTTTATTTTTTTTAATGCTTTACATTTGATACAAATATTAAAGATCAATTTTAAAAATAGCTTTCCAGTAATATATTTTAAGTAATATATATTTTAATATCTATGTAAAAAGTGACAGTGGAAGACTGAATTTCTTATATATGGTATGTTTAATGTAGGACCTCACTGTTTAAGGCACAAATTATTTCAAAGGAAGTTACTCCGAAGACACTCAGATTATTTAAAAAAAAAAAAATGCAATAAGGGGAATAGTTTTGGGGTTTATTTTTATTTTAAAAGAAAATTCACTTAACTTTCCACAAGCTATTTTTTCCCCACTGGCTTATAAGGTTTGTACAGACTGGTTTGGTAAATGCTAAACTTTTGTGTCTTTTGCCTTTTTAAAGGAATTGTTAACATTGGAATTGAGGGTATGTACAGAGAAGTTGGTGTCAACACCATTTAATAAGTCATATTTTTTCACAAATATAGAAAAATCATTTTACATAAGAATTTTAAGTATTTGCAATAAATATATGTATATAGATTGTATGTATTCATATATTCTTATTTTTCATTTTATTATTAAGCAAAAGATAATTAAAAGTGAAATTGAAAACCTTGGAGTTTTTGGTGAATCTTGAGGTCTGACATCTATCTGAGAGTGGCATGGGGAGGGGCCCTCAGTTATTGCATTATAGTATTATGAGAAAAGGTTACCACAGACTTTATGGAAGAGTGTGAAATGAGGTATTTGGTGATAGATTAGGATAGTGCATTTCTTTCAGAACTTACAGAAAAATATTGAATTCTCCTCCCCATCTCCATGTTTTCCTAACAACTTTATATGTTACTAGAAAGTGGAAGAAAACAAAGGGCAGTCTATTTTTTAATGTACCTATTGTTTGCTTCTAAAACAAAAACTGGTAAGGAATATAAAGTTTTTCTTTCTTCACAATGATTAATAGTTCACTAGCAGGCAGTCAGTGTCACCATCTTCCAGGCCCTAGGAGTATGTGAAGAAATAATCTCTTGAAGATACAGAAAACTTGTTTCCTGTTTCCCAGTTCTTCTCTGAGAAGTGAGTTTCATAACCATTGTATCTCATGTCCTGCCTGCTTCACTGATCTGGAGAGTTCAGAGAGCCAGGAGAACCTTGTGAAGAGAGATAGCTATGCTTGCATTAGATTCTGACACTTCTTGAAATGTTGAACTCTCTCCTGTCAGGAATGACAGGGAGATGACTGAGCCAGATGTCTGGAGAGGTCAAATGTCTGAGTCCCATACCTAGAATGCTGTCCAAGAGGACTCATTTTGTGGTTATGAAATACTTGATTTTTAGATGTGATGGGGAGGGAACAAAATGATACCTAAATAGATGGTCTTTGCAAATATGTAGCCTGTTCTTTTAAATGGGTAATGCATAGATTTATTGATGAACTGAAAGAAAAGTTGGAAAGGTTACATTTTCAAGAATGTGTCTTGATGACCCATGAAACCATTTATTATGATTCACTAGTTCATTCTCCCTAAAATTGCCCAGCTCTGATTTTGTTTTCACTGGGGGAAAATTTTTTTTCTTTGTAACAGTAAAGATACATAGCAATACTTAAATAGACAATGTTATTTTTCAAAAACTGAAATTTCAAATATCTGGATTACCCAAAGACATTGGAGATAGTTCAGCCATCCAAGAGAAGAATATTCTATAGCTTAGCTGAAAATGTACTGTTTCAAAAGGAAATATTTCATAAGTCTCAGGGAACATCAGCATCCTCCATAATTCCATATATAATAGGAATGAAGGAGAAATATTTAAATGTGTGTAAACTAGCCCATAATGACCATTTTTCAAAGATTGACTCTCCATTTCTAATATATATTTATCATTATTTAAACAGGTTACCTACCTCATGGGAAATAAAGTTTATATTCAGGGAACCTAAAGGTATAGTTGGTCTGCAGTTCAGAGAGAAAGAGCAATTACCAGAACACAAGACAGCTTCAGCTACCCTTTATTTACTTCAGAGTCTTAGAAGCCTGTGTTCATTTTATGCACTACTTGACATCTGCTGTTTCTGAGAAGTCCTTTCATGGCATGTTTCTCACTTTTTGTGTGCAAATCATGTTACTAACTCAAGTATTTGTTGGATTAGGTACTAAAGTGCTGATTATATAAGGTAAGCAGTATTAGGTAAATTGAAAAAAAATATTTTCCTAAAGTAGTAACTATATAGCATGTTCAGGACTCAAGGAATAGTCAGTGCTACATGCTTCCAAGACATGTTAAAAGAGCATGAATGAGTTATAAAATAGAAGCATTTGAGGCACTAAGTGAAACACAAAGAAAAAAAAAAAAAAGGTATTGTCCCTAGTAAAACCAGGCAGCATGGAAGTGAGGAGCCAGGTTAAAATTTTACTTTTGAGGTTGGGGTTGTGTCTTGGTGGTAGAGCACTTGCCTAGCACGTGTGTGGCGCTGGGTTCAATCCTCAGCACCACATAAAAATAAAGGTATTTTGTCCATCTACAACTTAAAAATTGAAAAAAAAAAAGTTTTTACCTTTTTTGAGAACTGTTATTGGACTATATAAGAAATCTATTAAATCTAAATTGGAGAGAGGCAGGACAAATGTAATGCTTTAAGATAACCCCAGGCAAGTACTAAGTTCAGTTAACCCTTTCAAGATAACAGCTAGGCAAGTAACACAGTTTCAAATCCAAAAGAAACTCAAGGAAATTTTTTATTAAAAATGTGATTTTCACCTTACAGTTGAGAAGGAACTGAATCCCTTCATTTTGAATTTACATTCCTGTTTTCTCCAAGAATGGAAAAAATACATTAATATTATTGGTTTTCTATCTTAATACTATAGAATTGACCTTTTTTTTTCTTTCAAGTCACAGAACTTGAATTAAAAAGGGCTTTAGCATGACCCTATACCTTTTAATTTTAGTATAAAATTAAAATCCTAATTCTTATTCTAGAAAGTTTGAGGTAGAAAAGGTTTCAAAGGATAAATAATTATATTTTTTCAGTGCTTACACTTGAATTTTACTTACCACTTGTCTTTAACACAGATTATTGGATTTGCAACTCAACTTCTGTATGCCAAATTATCTATTTATGTTCCAGTTAAAAGAGTTGTTAGGTGTATTCCACTGTATCACATAGTCTCAATTCTGCCCAAGAACTAGGAGGATGGATATAATCTATGTTCCTAATACTTGGTAACTTTCAACGGAAGATTGGATTTTTTTCATAGAGACCATATGGACTAAGGAATAAATACTCCATACTTGTATGTAGATTTCAGGGGAAATCCTACAAAGGGGAATCCCTACACAGTTCTTCCTAAGGAAGGACAGGAAACCTGATCTACTATAGAGATGGGCTGTGCCTAGATAGTGGGTTTTCCTAACAGTAACTTCAAACCCCCCCTCCTAACTCCATTCAAACCCAAAAAGCCAAAGGGAAAACATCCTGATTTTCATCTTAACTGGAAAACATAAATGATACTTTGCAGGGGGAGATAAACCAAATGTGATTTTAAGTGGATTTAACTGAACTTAAAGCAGCTTAATTTTTTAAAAAGATTTTGAGTTCACTTAACATGATTTTCAGTTGCCATGAATATAACACAGAATTTGGCTTGAGACATTTATGGACCAAGGAGTGGTTTTCTGTTGGGCTGTGTTAATTTGAATTTGGGGTTGTGTATCTACCTATATCTGCTAAGTGAAATGGAACTTGGCTTCATAAGCACTCTTATTAGACCCAGGTGACTCAGTGCTTCGTTTTATTAAGTTTAGTCAGGGATCTTCGCTTTTGAATATTTTAAATTCAAATATCCTAATAAGAAAATAATGAATTAAGTCATACCAGAATATCTAAAAGTATTTTAGAACTTATTTTACACAGCCTATGTCCTTCCAGTGGAGCATATGGTATATAAAACTTCATGTGTGTTGGGTTAATTCTTTAAAAAAGCAGATTAAGTCAGCAATGTTAGGTTTTCAGGCAATAGCAGTTTGGAGACTTCAGTAGTGCCCAGCTGAATCTACGTATCAAGTTTTCAAACAATCTTGATTCTTCCCGAGTCTCATATTTGCTACCCCTTTGTTAGATGAGGAGATGGGTTCTAGACTGGGAAGGATATAATTTATTCTCTGATAATAAAGTACTGATTAAAGAGCAAATATGTTCTTTGAGAATTCACAAAATCTCTAGAACCCATGGAAGATCTGGAGTACATGACAAATGAAACTAGAAATTAAGAACTTTTCTCGTAGCCATAAGTGCTTTGACCTATTTTTTCAAAACTCAGTTCAGTAAGTCACTGCATCACACCTTTCACCAGCAGCAAGA